CATGATTCAAGGACTTTCTTTTCCCTTTAGAGATAAGAGTTATGCAATTTGGGAGTCTTTTAGACTGACCCACTGAAGGGGTACTCCAATTACCTCACACTGCATCCCTGTTCAACATGGAAGAAGCCAGAGCTTTCTGCATCCCGATTCCCTATTGGCAATTTTAGTAACCTCTTCAGAGGATGGTGTGATAAGAATAGGAGGTAGGAATTGGCCAGGCAGTTAGGGTAAAAAGACCCCAAAGAGAAGTAGCCAGTTTCTTGGCTAAAAGTCAAAATGTCTTTGGGACTGTTGGTAACACACTCTGTTCCAAAGGCCAAAAATGTCAAAAGTATTTGAGAGCTTGTATCTAATCCTTAAAATATTTTAAGGTTACTTCTTCAGAGGGGGGGATGTTAGAGTAGCCAGAAACCCCATAAAAAATAAATAAATGAAAGAAAAAAAAAGAAAAGAAAAAAGTGATGGAGAGATATGGGAGATGTTGGAAGGGAGGGAGTGGGCATGGATGTGATCAAAACACCTTATATGCATGTATGAAATTCTCAATACAGTTTTTGTAAAAGTTAAAAAAAGAAAAAAGAAAATAAATAATTATAACATATTAAAAAATTAAACATATAAAGAAAAGTAAAGGAAGGAAAATAAACTAGCAAATACTAGGAAGTTTTAAATTTTGTTTGTTTGACAGCGTCTCCATTGTCCCAGCCTGCTTGGAAGTCACGATGTGGACCAGGGTGGCCTCTGTCTCACAGAGATCCACATGCCTGTGCCTCCTGAAGGCTGGGATTAAAGGCACACACCACCATGCGCAGTGTATGGCAGTTCTGTAAGCTGGTGGAGTGGAGAGGCTATGGACTAAGGGAGAATTGTGACATTAAATTATAACCAACTCTTGAGTTTTGCAGTAAGGAATCTTGACAAGCTTTGTTCTAAGATTGGGGCCCATAGCAGTGGTTGGATGCTAATGAGTTTGATATATCAGAAAGGAAGAGATGGATTAGACAGAGGGATTGCTGGACTGATATCTTCGAACAGCAAGACTCAAAGGTGCTTGCTCTGTCAAGAAGCAAAAATGAAGGGGTTTTCCTTATCTAGAAGCCTATCTATCAAAGGCAGAGCATACAGCGCAAGGCAGAGGGGGACAAATGTGGTGGCAAAGGTTATGGAATATCCCACCTGGGCGTGTATAGGAGGGTGAGATTGACCCTCCAAGGAAAGAGAAGATGTGAAATAGTTGTCCAGGCCACAAGGAAAGTGAGTGGTCTAGGGAATCGCAGTGGGATGAGCAGCTGACCCTGAGAGCGAGCTTGAAGTTCATCTGTCCGAGCTGAAGCAGACGCCTCTCATCAAGGCAGCACATTTTTCTCCAGCCATCTTCAGTCAGGAGGGTGCAGTTGACAAGCAGATTTGGAGTTAAATTTAACCAGCGCTGGGGGTTTTCCAGACAAGTCTGATAAGGAGAAAAGGAGCAGGAGAGACTTACATAGGTGGTTACTGCAGGGCTGGACCTTGGAATCTCATGTAGGGAAGAAGAGGAACAAGGATATAAGTCAAGTGACAGAAAACGGACGGCCCTAGGATCACGGGGTGCAGAAGTTAGCAGAACTGGATTGGCTGGAGTTGGACTCCAGACAAGGAAGGGAAAGAGCTGGAGAGACGGAAAAGGTTGATCAGCAAGGTTCTCATCTCTTCTGAATGGTCATTATTGCAGAAGCCGGGGCTATGATTTCTACTTTTCTGTCTATTCCCAGAAGCCCCCTTTTTAAAAGTTCATATAACAGACATCTTTTGATTGGTGGCTTACTGTGTTTTCAGTTTGGCAATGACAAACGTGGATACTGGGAATGGACTATCAGAGAAACCATCGCATTCAGCTTCGAGTTTAGACTGGCCTCTTCACTGTGGGCTCGTTTTTTTTTCATAAATATCGTTTCTTTTTATTATTATTTTTATTTTATGTATATGTGTGTATTGCCTGCATGTAGGTAAGTGCACCTGTGTCGTGCAAGGCCCATGGAGGACAGAAGAGACTGTCGGATCCCCTGGGACTGGAGTTATGGACAGTTGTGGGCTCGTTTCTTGCTCATGGCGAGCCCCATTTGGCTCATCCGTAAAGTAAAGAAAATACTGATTGACTTGTGGTTACTGTGACAACCAAATGTAATAAGGTATATAAAAGTGCCTTGGAAGCTAAAAGGCCAATGAACAATAACCTGAAATGGCCCCAAGACCATGAATCCTCCAGCAGAGGGAGAAACATCGGCCACCAAGGACTTTGGAGGGAGAAAGTTTGCTCTCCTTCTGATCTCGGTGACTGAGCCCGGCCTCATGCTTGCCACACTCCATACGCTGTGTGCGGCCTCCGCACTTACCGACAGTGTTGATTTTATATTCCAACTCTCCTCCTGGAGGGATGAAAAGGGGAAGGAAGGGGTAAGAAAGGAACCAAAGGAAGTGGAAGGGATTTGCACAGGAGCAACATTTCCATGGCATCTACTGTATGCCTAGTACTTTGCAAACACCTCAGGCCGCCTTCCGCTGTGACTCAGTATCTCTGTCTCAGTTTATAAACCAGGAAATTAACACAGCAAGCAAGTCATTTGCTCCAAATGACACAAGCAAGAAATGGCCAGTGAGGGAATCTACTTCTCACTCAGAATTCCAAACCCAGAGCTTTCCTGGGGTGTCCAGCTAATCCTAAGCCACATCTACCAAGAAAATGACCTTTCAAGAGGGTTTTCTGAGCTTAGGTCTCCATTTCTTTGTGATGCCTGAGGAACTTGTAAGTCCACGAAAGAGACATTTCAGAGTCTCCAAATTACCCAATTCCTTGAGGCAGGGGGTTACTGACCCAGTGTAGAAACCATTTAAATCATGAAAGGCATTGTCTTAAAAGCCTTTCTTAGTGTCTTATTGGCTTAGAATGTCTCCACTAAGAATTTATGACATAATGAGCAAGAGAGAGAGAGGATGGGATAAGCACCCCGCTTTCCTGATGCCAGAAGCCTATGTGCAGTGTTCATGGTCAGGTCTGTTTTGGAACGAGTATCCACCCCAAATACAGCGGCTTAAAACTGTAACATGCTGTTCTTTCTCCTGGGAGTTCACAGGATTCTTCTCCTTTCTTCATGAGCTCACAGTCAAGTGCTGGCTAGGCTGCAGCCATCTGAAGACTGAACACCCAGCAGGGCTCCCATCCCGGCCGGCACTGACTGCTGACTGAGGGGGTTGGTTAACGATGCCAATCACAATGTCCATGAGGTGAGGCACTTCAACCCAACAGAGGTGTTCCAAGAAGAAAGGGACAGGCCCAGTCTGGCCACGCATAGGCGCAGGCCATGCCCAGAACTAGAACAGCATCACTTAACGAAGTCTCTTAGTGGAGGAAACATATTCTGCTTAGACTCACAAGGGCAGAGGCATAAATTCCACTCACTTAATGGGGAACAGCAATCACTTGCAAGAGAAAGTGGGAAAGGAGATATTAATGCATTCACCTTTAGAAGAAGAAACCCATGGGGTCACCAGCTCGGGGACATGCCCAGGGTCAGAAAGCCATGGGGTCAACAGCTCAGGGACACACCCAGGGTCAGAGTGGCCCTGACAGCAGCGCTGCTCCTGGCCGTCGAGTTGATCTGGCTCTAGCCAGGCTTCCTGCCCATACCTTACACCACCCGTATGCCATATGCACAGCCTTCTCCTCCCTTCCTACCTCTGCAGAAGGCCTCCCCCCAACCCCCAAGTCCTTCCAGAGGGAGCCTCTCTCTTATCAGTCAGGTCGCCGCTCAAATATCACTTTTCCTGGGAGTCCTTCCTCACTACCACGTGACTCTTTTCTGTTCTTCGAAGGCGTTTGTCTGGCTCTTTATCTCCCATCTCTGTTGCATCACTAGAGCACAAACTTTGAGAAAACAATTGTCTCTCTCGTCCACCGCGGGCATCTGCAGTGCCTTCGCACATCTCTGTTGCACCGCAGTCATTCAAACATTTCTTGTTGTTCAATAAAAAATGAACCAGTGAATATCCCCTCTTCTCTCCCTTCTCCTAGGACAGGGGATTGTGTACTACTCTGGCAAACTGTTTTCTTTTTAGACACTTTGTAGGCAAGTCCTACATGGCAGTAAAAAATGACCTAACTATGGGCTGGAGAGACAGCTCAGTGCATAAAGTTTTGCCAAGCAAGCCTACTGACCAAAGTTTGGCCCCTCAGCACCATATACATGCCAGGTGGGAGGGGCGGCCCACCTGTGGTCTGAGCAGGTGGGAGGCAGAGATGACATCCTCCATCCTTGGGGCAAGCCAGATGACTAACCAAAGCAGTGAGTTCCAGTTCAGCTAGAGGACAGTGATAGAGGGAGATATGAAGCCTCAACCTCTGGGCCTCTACAAGCATGTGCACACACATGTAAATGCACACATGTGTGAATGCACACACCCCACAAACACATAAAAAAAGCTTTACTTAACTTGTGAAAGCATTGAATATTTACTAGTAAGGCGTTTTCAAGCTGTACCTCCTGGGCCTTGTGTCTGTGACTCTAGTCTGGAGGGAAAAGGAGAAAAGGGGGCCAGGGAACCCCACCGTCCTTTCCAATATAGCAATAATCCTTTTGTTTGTCTTATCTATTGGGGTTCATTTGAAAAATGGTTCCACTGCTTAAAAAAAAAAAAGACTAATTCATGCGTGTCCAACCATTGCACGTTGCAACAGACATTGTCATCTGCAGAGTTCACCCTTAAGAACTGTACAACTGAATTACCAAAAATCTCATCATGTGCAAAGCAAGTTTACGGTTTTGGGTTGGACCACACCACAGCTTTCCTCAGCTGCA